CATGGAGAGGTGAGAGAACCCCACCCTGCGGGCAGCCTTTCTTAATTTGGATTGGTTGACATTCACCAGCAATCTTTATTATTCGTGTACTGAGCATGCAAACTATCCAGTCGATCAGTGCCGGTTCAACTTTATGTCTACTGAGTGCACCTTGTATGCTGGAGAAGTTCGTTCTGTCAAAAGCACCTTCTATATTATGAAGGAACAGAATTTCTTTGTTTTGGATGGCCTCTTCAATCTTTGTAATTACCTGATGAAGTGCCGATTCTGTTGATTTGCCTAGAGTGTAGGCGTGTTGCTTGTCGTGTAGTGGTAAGTTTATTAGCGCCGACCCCCTTAATTCCCTTTCACACATCCTCTCCATCGTTTTTAGGAGAAAGGATGTGAGGCTAATGGGCCTGTAGGATTTAGGGTCAGTGTAATCGCTCTTACCTGGTTTGGGTATAAATGTGACTTTCACTTCCCTCCATCCCCTAGGAACATATTTAAGAGCCAGACAGGCTCTCATTATGGCAACAAATCTGACTATTAGGGCTTTAACCCCCCACTGTAGAAGTGCCGGGAATATGCCGTCGGGTCCTGCCGCCTTATAGGGGAGGAAACTGTGAATGGCCCAATGGATTTTGTCCATCGTTACCACACTCTGTGCTAAATTCCAGTCTTCTACTGTTGGTGTCGGTATGTCGTCATGCCGGTTTGCCTCCTGGTTTACGCAGCAAGCTGGGAAGTGCGTTTCAATTAGGATGCGTTGGGCTTCATCCGGCGATGTTGAGTAGCTACCGTCGGGTTTCTTTAGAGATATGGATCCCGACGTGTTCCGTTTAGCTAGAATATTCCTTATCCTATTTGCTTGTTCACAGGTTTCTATGTTGCCACAGAATTTACACCACCCAGTCGAGCGTCGATACCTGATACATTTTTTGTATTCAGACTTAGCTTTCTTATATAGTAGCCAGTCTTCATCCATTGAGGTATTCATGGCCCTATTTAGGGCTTTTCTTACCTTCTTACGTTTCCTATCGAGTACTTCACCCCACCACTGTTGCATTACCTCGGCATGCCTTGGTGGAGTGATTTCCGGACATGATTCATGGTAGCTATCTATCATGGCCTTAGTAACAGTTGCTACCTGTTCTTCTAGGAGCGACTGATCTGCTATATTATTTATCCCCTCAAAACCCGCGAGCGAAGACGTCAGCCTATTTAGGTATTATGTTTTATCCGTCTTGCGGGGATTTCTCCATGGTGGTGTAGAGGGGATATCGACCTGTAGTGCGAAGCAGATCCATCTATGGTCTGAGCATGAGGCCTCTTTCGACACATGCCATCCCGTAATTAGTTTGGCTGCTCCTTCTGTTGCAAGTGTGAGGTCGATTATAGTGCGACAGCGTTTGTTTATGAAAGTAGGTTCAGAACCTATGTTTAAAATGGATAGGTTAGTACTAAATAAATATTCAACTAAAACCTTACCTCGTTCATTTGGTTTTTCCATTCCCCAAAGGGGATGATGTGCGTTGGAGTCCGTCCCGATCACAACCTCTAGTCCGGTCCTCTCGCAGAAATTCACCAGCCTGCCGAGGTCATGAGGGGGGAGGAGTGTCTTCCTCCGGCATGTAGACCGAGGCGACGACTAATCTTCTCTCCTGTGTAATTGTATGCCACGGCATACATGTCTCTAGAACAGAAATCTGTTTGTTGGGTATCTTGGTGTAAATACACGCTCTAGGCTTGTCGTGTTCAGAGCTGTAGAATAGCTTACCTTTTAGGTTGTTTAGGCCTTTAATTTTACCAGCCCCAACCCACGGCTCCTGGATTAAGGCTATGGCAGTCCTTTGAACCTCCAACCACTTGCGTAATTGAGCCGACGCAGTTTCGCTGTGCTGGAGATTGGCCTGCACTAGGCTAGTTTTGGACGAAGGGCACGCCATCACTGATCGCGTCCTCCCCGTCCCCGCCCAAAAACAGGCCTGCCAGAAGATCTCGGGTCTCATCGTCAGCCACCGAGTCGGAAGTGGTCGGCAAAATGCAGTCCTCTTCGTCACTCAGTGAGCTGCCGCTGAGCCCGATCTCCACTGGGGGCTTCGGCTCAGTTGTGCAGGCCGTTTTTTCACTGGACTTGGCCTCCAGTGATTCCGCTGTACCGGTAACCGTGGCTCTGGTATCCATAACTTCCGGGTTGTTTTCTACCTCTGCTTGGTGGAGTGTCAAAGAATTTACCTCCACGACCCTGGAATTTTACGTATACCGCCCCGCATACACATGCGAGACGGCGTCCGGCCTTCATCAGGGTCGGGATATAATCCTCCGGCACCGAAACAACGAGGAACCACCCGTCCGTCTGCTTATCAGCCTTGAGTAACAGCCAGTCCCTGATGTTAACCCAGCGGTTCTGGTACTGAGTCTTTCCAGGCTCCTTGGGCATCAGGGATAAGGATACCACCTTTGACTCTTTGTGGTATCTCGGACTGTTTCTTTATTGTCAGCAAGGTGTTGGATTTAAGATCGAGGGTAGCAATATTCCCCTTCAACCAGTCCAGAGCCTTTTGATCGTCGCACCACAGTTTCAGGACACCCTCCGTATAAACGGGTTTGCCCCTAAAAACTGGGCCCGACGCATCAGGGTCCTGGTTACTCCAGGCCTCGCTGATATCTTCCTCTGTATTGCTACGAGGATGTCGTCTGCTACTTCCTTCGTAATGTGACCTGAACGCGCACACGTTAAGGCCACACCCAAATCTGCTCTAGCAGCGGAAGCGTAGCTCGTTTGTGCAGCCTTTGGTTGCTGTTCGAGTCGCAATTTTTTGTGTTCCCCTCTAGGCGAGGTGGACTCTTCCAGCATCCTTTGGCTCCTGCTCTTTCCTTCTTCCCAGGACGCTTGGCCGCTCGCTGCTTCCTGGCGGATATCCTAGAGCTGGTTCCCGCGGCCGCGACTTCCACTTGGACTGGATTTTTATCTTTCCCAGCTTCAGTGCGGCTACTGGTTCCAGCTTCAAGCACCCCAGTCGCAGTAGCTTGCCCAGCTTCCTTGGTTTTAGTTTCGGAAGCAGCCAATGCGGCTCGTTCTCTTCGGCCGTTTTCCCGCTGCTTCTTGTTCTTCTTTTTGGCCTTTCCACTACTGCCTGCAGGGATAGACCCTCCTGATGGTCTGTCAGGTCGGCAAGTCACCTTTTTGGGTGCCTTGCCTTTCCCCTTACGGCTCACCACTTGCCAGGCAGCAGAGAAAAGGTCGTCAGTTCGTAGTGGCTCTGCAGTTTTGTTACTCGCGAGCTCTTGTTCTTTTTTCTCGTCCAGCTCCTTGGAACTGGTTTTGGAAACTTTCAGCGAGGTAGTGTCCTTTTGTTGGGGGCACTTATGCTGGACGGTACTGTCCGTGGAACCGTCGGTTTAGTGACGGTTCCCCCCTTGTTCTTTGGTGTCTCTGGTAAGCACCTCTGACACCTCTCCCTCTTTCTTATTGGGTCTTAAATCGTCCATAATTTTTTGTTCTTTAAAATTCATCCCCCCGGCTTCCCACCCTCCATGGAGCCCGCACCTTTGGGAACGCCCTACTTTAAAAAAAAAAGAATTTCAGGCGTTAGGATTACCGGGAGAATATAGGGACGCGAAGTTGGCTCACAGCGCGACATCGGGAGCTCGATCCAGCTGGTAGATGGGGCTGACAAGGCCCATCCCCACCACCCGAATAAACTGTCACTTGCTCCGTCAGCATGGCCTTTACCACCACCCAGCCCCCTTTTCAGGAAAACTAGGCTGCCCCCACATCCCTCGCCAGCGACCCTCTGACGGGGCGCTTGGCCATTTCCCTATCTGTGGCTAGCAGATAGGGCCACCGTTTAGCTTGAAATCCGGACCAAAGAGGGCGTGTTGCCTCTCGCCACTATATACCCCAGCGACGATCGGCTCAACCCTCCAGGACTCCTTCATCCCCGCGTACGGCGTTCGACTGAGGCGCAGGTGGGTGTGTTAGTCCACCGGATACACCTACTCTCTCCGGCGGAACTTCCCTCCTCCTTTCTCATCCGGGCTTGGGACCGGCAATGGCGGAGTTATTTCGATGTGTAACATTCGCCTAAATAGTAAATATTAGAATATCACGTTTCAATCAACCACTTAATTCTATTATTTATTGTGTAATCACCATTGGTATTATACTTTTTTAATGTAAAAGTCCATACTAAAACTGGTAAGTATAGAGATGGTATAGCGGAATCCAACAGCCTTCTACGGTTTTTCATAATATGAAGATGTCTTCTGAGAAGTGTCTTGAGCATAGCGCACTATTTGTGGTGGGAAACCATTGGTTTCCTTGACGAGTAACGTCGGTCCACATCTTTTCCTTTTGGGGCATTTAGGAAACCTATAACATATAGGTACCACAATTATACGCCACTATTTGTATAAAATAATGAGTACAAAAAAAGTAAACGATGACCATGCAAATATCGACTTATAAATCACAACTCTATCGATACACGTGCTGTCGTTAGACAAAGACAACTATTTTAATTTACGTAATGAGTGAAAGGGACATTTCAAAAAGACATCAACGGGTGCTCAAATTATATCACTTTGCAACATTATATTCCAGTGTAAGTTGAACTCCGGTGCATTTGAAATAGGTTAACGTGATAAGAATAGAATTTACTTACCGGTGAAATAATATGCCATCTTTTTGATAACTGGATGTCTTAGCTGAGTTGTCACACATTTCACTGCATAGGAAGCTTTTGTAATGTATTTTGGATAATTTTTTAAATTTTCAAAAACTCTGTAATGCCTACGGGTCACATACTCGGTCGACAATGATATCGTGATTCTTAGCTTCTCTTCATATGCTAGCTACAGCAAGTATGTTGTTGCGTGCGTTTGTGGCCCTGTATGCGGAATCTATTAGGGGGTAATCTGTGCCACTGGCTTGTAAAAGGCAATGGAATGAATGACAGTTTTTTGTATATCTTTTAACAGAAAATTATATTTTTTTTTATTCTGTTTGTTTTCAGCCGGAAGTAAGAAGAAAGTCTTTTACATAGAGGAGATTAAAAATTTTAAGACTTACCAACAATTAAAAACGAGGATGTTGAAATTATAAAATAAGTGCAAAGATGTTAAAAAGTCCTACTGTGTAGCAGAGAAGGTAAGCAGAAATGAAACGGAACAGAATAAAACAATATCGACTTATATGAAACTTCAATTGAAATCTATACAGAAACCAAAAGGCAGAAAGTTTACTCTAAAAGAGAAAATTTTTGCATTATCAACACTAAAACAAAGTTCTAGGGCTTATAACTTTTTAACCAAAATTTTTGTATTACCATTCAAACATACTCTATAGAAAATCCTTAAAAATATTGTGATTGAACCACGATTGACAGAAAATATTCTAAATAATTTAAAGAAAAAAATTTATAAAATGACACCTGAACAAAGGCTATGCAACATAATGTTTGATGAGATTGCCTTTACCTCCTGGTTTATATTATAATAGGAGTATTGATCAGATAATTGGTTTTGAAAGAGATTCTGAGAAAATTGCAGACCATTGTCTTGTTTTTATGATAAAAGGGATAAAGAGCAAATATAAATAGCCATTTGTTACCAGTTCTGCCAAAGTGCAACTAAAAGCCATATATTGGAAAGATTTAATTAGAAGATTAAGAGAAGGTGGCTTAATTATTGTCGCTACAATTTGTGACCAAGGCACATCTAATGTATCTCTTTTAAAAGATACGAAAGAAAAATACTTAAGGCATAAAGTCTACAAAAGTAATGTAATAGAAATTGATAACGTACCTTTATTCCATATTTATGATCATCCTCCATTTATTAAAGGGACTAAGAAATAATTGGATTAGTAAAAATATAAGATTCATTTTCAATGGGGAAGTCATGGTGGTAAAATGGGAATATTTAAAAATGCTTTTAGAAATTAATGTTGAAGATGATTTAAGAATATTAAACAAATTAACAATTCATCATGTGCAGCTCAAGTTTTCAGTCAAAGAGTTGCAGCCACAGTAAATTTTTTAGCAAGTAAGTTGCTTATAGTTCTTTTTTAGACGTTACCCCCCACACTAGGATTTTCTCCTATATTATGAAGTCAGTTTACAAACATAAATTGCACAAGGAAAAACATCCAGACCGGAACAATTATTTGTAGGCCGTAGGCTTGTTCCGTGCGGGATTCGAACCCGCGGCCCCCAGCGCAGCCACTCATTGCTAAGCCACTGCGCCACGAACATAAAATATACGAAATAACATAAAATATAACATTAGAATATTATAAATATAAAATGTTATGTTATTTAATTAATAGTTGTTATTTATTTGAGAACTGTTGAAAATACTCTTGAATTAAAATATTAAGATATCCATTTTTTATGTTTAAAAACTGTATTCATAAGGCTAAAGTAAGACGAAAATGCAGTTTGTATGAAAAATATTATATGTATTAAGACTTAATAATGTCCTCCAGACCGAATTTCGGCCACCGCGGCCTGCCTCAACGGAGGCTAGCCACCGGCGCAGGACAGGATTATAGTGCCCGAGTGTATGCGCAAGCACAGGTGCACTCTCTATTCCCTCGCTCTCATAATCCGATGGGACGGTAAACCGACACGACCGGAGAGAGATCAGGCGCGGGACCAACGGCTTTACGTGCTTTCCGAGGCACGGGGGTGAGACACCGCCAACTTCTTGACTCCGGGCATCTACTGAGAATTTCTTGACGGAAAAACTCTATAATTAATTTTTTGGCCCGACCCGGGATTCGAACCCAGGACCTCATGATCAGCAGTCGCACTACTACAACCACTAGACCAACGAGGCAGTCAAATCCATATTACTCTACAAAGAAGCGTGAAATTAGGACAATAGTTCTTTATATTACATAGGCATCCAAAAAGAAAATATTTTGGAAAATTAAAACCCTAATAGGGTGAAAAAGGGACAGGGACAGTTTCTATGAAACTTTTTATTTTGTAGGGCGATGGGCTCGAAACAAGCCCTCGCAGGGAGGGCGCAGTTTATTCAAAGTTGTGTGAAGAAAAAGTTATGAATGTTTTTTTAGACTTTGAAAAATGGTGCAATTTCAAGCCCTTATTTTGAAATAGGGTTCACAGTTTGTACACACTTTTCACTTTATCTAGCCATTTTATATGTGTATGTTAAGGTTAAAGTTACAGCCTATTTACGATTTACTGCTGGGCACAGGCCTCTCTTAATTTCTGATAGGGTTTTGGGGCTAGAGGTGTCCCCGCACTGCCCCAATGCGTGTTGGCAAACTTCATATGTGTGTTATACGAGGTAGAGCCATGCTGCAGTTATATTAGTAGTATAGTTGTAGCATGAATGGGTCTGCTCGACCGGGGAAGGACCACGCTCTCACAGAATTCCAGCGTGAAATAGTAGCTAATGCTGCTGTGTTTCATATGGTGAGTGTAGAGAATCGGGTACCTCTTTTACTGGAAACTAGGCATTCCATCTTAGTCCTCACGGGTGTCAACGCATCTTCATTTTGATTTGTAATCGAGGATAGATGTAGATGTCAATGGGCCGCAGCAACCACTTACCATCAGGTGGACTGTGTGCTCGTTTGTCACCTTATCCTATAAAAAAATAAAAATATATCTTCGAAATATATTTTTCCTATTTCTTAGACATGCAGGTTTCCTCACGATGTTTTCCTTCACAGCTGAGTACATAGTAAATCAGCACTTAAAATTGCAATTGACAATTTCATTGCTGCTGGCGGGGATCGAACTCTGGTTGATCGCGTACTGTGAAATTTATATCAAGCTCTAACCATCTGAGCTACCACGGCTTATATGTATGGTAAAAAATTATTAAACGAATTTTGTTACTTGAAAATTGGTAACGTAACAACACGCAGCCATCATAGCATTAAGCTGCTATTTTACAGTGGTTTTCTGTGAGGGCGTGGTCCTTCCCCAGTCCAGCTGACCCATTCATGCTACAACCATAATATAGCTGCAGCGTGGCTCTACAATGTAAAAAAATGAATGTTATGTACACTTGTTATTGATATACATATCAGAGAGTATAGAAATGTGTATGTTTTCGTGATTATGTCATATATGTGTATTGTAAGTGTACTTGTTAAATAAAATAATAAAAAATTTAATTAATAAAAGCATTTGTTGATTAATAATTTTGCATCTTTTACTCAAGCATAATGATATACTATATTTTTTCAGAAACTTTACCGAAGGCCTCTACTTCAAAGGATGCATATCAAATTAGAAAACAGTCTAAACCTCAACAACAAAGAGGTAAGTCAGAATTGTATCAAGTAATATGTATTACTTAGTTAGTATGTCTGCTGAATATAAATTGGCTGTATTGCCAAATATTATTTTATAGTAACATAAAAAGATTAGAACATATTGAGTTTGTTGAAGCAAGTTACACCTCATTGTCTGGTTCTATTTCTGTTTTTGATGCTTATATACAGTGACCTATTGCTAAAGGAAACTGGGTTCCAAACTAGTGTCCAGCTAAAAAAGTTACAAAATGCAAAAATAAGTTTCGTCAAGCAACTTAATACATGTTCAAAATGCCATACTGTATTGTGAAAACATACAAAAACTATTTATATTTATTTTCCATAAGAACTACTAATATTAAATCATTTAAAAGTAATATTATGCATGGATATGTAAATAGTATTTAATTTAAATTCATATTAATTGTAAGACAAATAACCATACTGATAATTTTCACTAGAATCTTCACAAGGTGAAAATAGTGCAACCTCTAGTCGAAATCAATAGGCTGATAAATTGTCACAAGTAAAATTGAGTAATTTTATAACGACAATATGGTTTGAACTGGGATGTTATAGTTTTTTTATATTTCTATATGTGTGCCTACACTTAATATCGGTTAACTGGGACACATTTTTCGTGAATTTTGTTCTATTCATTCAGTAGTAGGTCAATGCTTAAATTTAATTTAATAATTTTTATATTTCAATAAACTACAATTAATTAAAATAATGTCTTAATTTAAAATTGTGTACTATAACAGGCACCTGAACTAGGATAAACCTTTATCTCAAGTGTATGTTAGCACATTAACAAATATTTTCCGTTTCTTATATAAAATGAATAACATACTAACTGATAAGGATTATTTCGGTAAAATATATTATATTTATTAAATTTAAAAAATCAGCAAATTTTCCATATCATTGTATGACAAATTTTGTAACCATGTTTGGATTACATTTTTACAATCTGCCATTTTTAATGGATGTATACAAATTTGCATTGACTTTATTATACAGAATAGACTAAGGGAATATAAAAAATATATCTCATTCCATTAGGTTCAACAATACTATTATCCCATACTTATGTATAAATAAAGTGAAATAGCTAGATTAACCGATTTATAATAGCAGATTATTAACTATTGAAGTGAGAAACATGGAATTTGCATAGTAAAGCTGCAAATAACCTTTTTAGCATAAACTCCCACTAGGAAGGATTTTTGAGTGGAATAGGGATTATGATTGTGCCTGAGAGTCTCGTTATTTTTTACAGCAAGAAATGTAGTTTGATTTGATGAAGGCTTTTGTTTAGAAATATTGAACATGGTGAGCTGTGCGTAGGTTGTGGCACGAATTTGTCAGCTCAACCAGTGTATATGAAGACGCTCTTACAATAATAGCGTGAAATAGCAGCTTTATGCTGCTATGTTTCATATAGTGACTGAGAACTGGACTCTTTTTTTACTGTAAACAAGGCAATCCATCTTAGTCCTCAGGGGTGACAACGCATCTGCATTTTGATTCTAAATTGCAGATAAATGTAGATGTTTATGTACCACAGCATCTTCTTCCCATCAGGTGGACTGTGTGCTTGTTTGCCACTCTTTTTCTATAAAACATCTACTACTGTCTGAGCTAAGCCACTGGCAATAGTTAGTGTACCTTATAAAGTACAATTGAATGACTGACAGGTTTTTGTATATCTTAACAGAAAAATATATTTTTTTTATTCTGTTTGCTTTCAGTCGGAAGTAAGAAGAAAGTCTTTTTAAGACTTACCAACAATTAAAAACGAGGCTGTTGAAATTACAAAATAAGTGCAAAGATGTTAAAAAGTCCTACAGTGTAGCAGAGAAGGTATGGCAACAATATCGACTTTTATGAAACTTCAATTGAAATCTTGTACAGAAACCAAAAGGCAGAAAGTTTACTCTAAAAGAGAAAATTTTTGCATTACCAACATTAAAACAAAGTTCTAGGGCTTGTAACTTTTTAACCAAAATTTTGGTACTACCATCCAAACATACTGTTACGAGCTTAGGGTTCGTGACAATAAAAATTGCCGATAAAATTACCTAAATTAACACATTAATTTACTTTACACAAATTAAAACTAAAAACACTAATAATTAAACACACTAATTCACTTAATTCCGCTCCGAAGCTTCGCTTGTGTCGCCGAGTTCAACTCTGCCTCGATCGCATCTTGCAGCGCCTACTTATATAAATTAGCAAAATATCCAGAATGTTCAAGTAAACACGCGCAAGGTACCGAGAGTTCGAGTTTTAAACTTCAAGAAGTTTAGTTCTTCGGTTCGAGACTAGATGGCGCTAGTGCGCCGATTTTAGCGCGTAACACTGCCCCCTCCTAAGACATGCTCGTCCCGAGCATTATCGGTCCCATAATAACGCGCCAAGCGATCCACATGGACGATCTTAGGAGTCCCTCTTGCGCCTTTCTGTAACGGCTCCGCAATGTCAAGGGCTGTCCTATCCCGTGGTGCACCAACATTGTACAATTTCGGTGCTCCTCTACTACGTGTCTGAGGTCCCCGCACGGCCGCACAACTTGTACATGTACGACACCAATCCTCGACATCGTCACGATAATGGACCCAGTAAAACTGTTCTCGGACCTTCAGTAGAGTTCGTTTAACTCCCAGATGGACTCTTGAACGACCATTATGGCACAGCTGTAGAACATTCGGCACTTTAGCTTTAGGGACAACCATTTGCAAACGACAGCTGTCTCTTCGACCATTGTCCCATTTACGGCACAGGACTCCATCCTGAATCAGCAAGCTATCCCATTGGGCCCAATAGCTTTTCGTGGTTGAACTCATCGCTGAGACGTCCCTCCACTTAGGCTTGGTAGCACGGGCCTTCATCCATCCCAGAATCGGCTTGATGTCCGGATCTTCCTGCTGTGCATGTCGTAGGCTGTCCTTCCACCCGTTGCTGAGGTGGTCTGTCCTGAGCATCCTCACGGATACCACTTCCTTACTCTCTTGCCTACTACAATGGTTGCAATCTTCAGGACAAGGTCTTCTTGTCAATGCATCTGCGTTGCCGTGAGATTTCCCGCTGCAGTGTCTGATAGTAAAGTCGTATTCCTGCTGCTGCTGGGCGGTGCTGTTAGCCGCACTTCCTTTCTGAGACCGTTCACCTTCCCTTCGTAGGGTGTGCTCAGGGCAGCTGGACCGAAGATGGCCCCTTTCCCCACAGCCATAGCACCTAGGGCTGTATCTTTTATTGTGGTCGCGAACCGTAACTGCTGTAACCTCCCTAGCGTGAGGTGAACGATGATCCTGTCGCCGCCAGGCAGTGTCGTTAGCTGCACTACCCTCTCGAGATCGATCAACTCTCCTTTCCACGGTTCGCTTAGGGCAGCTGATTCGAAGATGGCCTTTTTCCCCACAGCCATAGCACCTAGGGCTGTATCCTTTGTTGCGGTCGCGAACTGTAGCTGCCGCAACCTCCCTGACGCGATGGGAACGATGATCCTGCCGCACGGCTTCCACTTCCAGTGCATGGGCCAAGGCGTTCTTAAGCGTCTCGTGGTGCCCGAGCCTCACAGCAGCTCTGACTTCCAGGTCGCGGATGCCGTCGATGAATGTCTGCACCAGGTTCCCTTCAATGAGCGCAGGTACAGACCGGTATGCTTTCCGCACCAGCTTCTCCACCTCTAGAGCCCACTGCTGCAGGTTTTCGTTGATGCGCTGCACACGATCTTTAAGCTGCGCACGAAAGACGTGTTCCAGGTGAGCGTCGCCATATCTCGCCTCCAATGCCTCAAGGAGTTGCTCATAAGTCACTTCCTCACCGAGAGCTTCCAGAACTGTTAAGGCCTGGTCGCGCAGGCCTAGTGTGAGAGCAGTCATGGCCTGACTTTTATTCCAGCCGTTCGCCTTCATAACAGCCTCGAACTGGATTTTGTAGGCTGACCAGGAAGAAGTCCCGTCAAACGGTGGCACCTTGAATCCACGTAGCGAAGGTGCTGAAGCTACTACGGGAGCTGTGGTTCCATCCCCAAGTTTGAGTTCATCCAGCGTTTTCTTAACTTGGTTGATTTGGGTCTCAGCTCCCGACAGGCGGTTATCATGTTGAGCAACCTTATCCTTCACCTCCCTTATCTCTTTCCCGAAGGTAGCGTGAAGGTCCTTCATGAGAAGCATCTGTTCTTCCTGGCCGCCCCGCAGCTGCTCTTCCAACCGACGGACCTGTTCCTCCTGTCGGCGAGCCTGTTCCTCCTGTCGGCGAGCCTGTTCCTCCTGTCGGCGAGCCTGTTCCTCCTGTCGGCGAGCCTGTTCCTCCTGCTGCTCTTTCAACAGACGGGCCTGTCCCTCTCGTCCGCGCTGCAGCTGCTCCTGTAGCATCGCCATCAGAGCACCTAAGTCAGGTGCTGCAGGTGTAGGAGCTACTGACGGGCCCGCAGCCTCCGTGGCTGGCAGTTGGCCCTCCGACGTCTGCGGCGTTGCACCACCAAATCTCCTCTGGTCCGTCTCATGCTGGCGTTGACTGCGGGTACGGACACCCTCCGTTTCCTCCTTAGGTAAAATCAGCATTATTTTATCCCACTTCTGACACCAATTGTTACGAGCTTGAGGTTCGTGTCAATAAAAATTGCCGATAAAATTACCTAAATTAACACTTTAATTTACTTTACACAAATTAAAACTAAAAACACTAATAATTAAACGCACTAATTCACTTAATTCCGCTCCGAAGCTTCGCTTGTGTCGCCGAGTTCAACTCTGCCTCGATCGCATCTTGCAGCGCCTACTTATATAAATTAGCAAAATATCCAGAATGTTCAAGTAAACACGCGCAAGGTACCGAGAGTTCGAGTTTTAAACTTCAAGAAGTTTAGTTCTTCGGTTCGAGACTAGATGGCGCTAGTGCGCCGATTTTAGCGCGTAACAATACTCTACAGAAAAGCCTATGTCACTCTACAGCCTCATTCCCGTGGGAAAATAGAATATGTTGCAAAAGTTTGTCCTTCTTTCACGTCGCAACAGAGCGTCGGCATGGCATGATTTTTTGTATGGGGATAGTTCGGTGGCTGTAGAGTGACATAAGCTACTTTTTTCAGCGGAAAAACATATCATTCCCGTGGGAAAATTGAATATGTTGCAAATCCATACTAATATTATAAATGCGAAAGTGTGTTTGTTTGTTTGTCCCTCTTTCACGTCTCAACAGAGCATCGGTATGGCATGACTTTTTGTATGGGGATAGTTCGGTGGCTGTATAGTGACATAGGTTACTTTTTTCCGCGGAAAAACATCTCATTCCCGTGGGAAAATAGAATATGTTGCAAAAGTTTGTCCTTCTTTCACGTTGCAACAGAGCGTCGGCATGGCATGATTTTTTGTATGGGGATAGTTCGGTGGCTGTAGAGTGACATAGGTTACTTTTTTCCGCGGAAAAAATAGTCATCTCATTCCCGTGGGAAAATAGAATATGTTGCAAGAGTTTGTCCTTCTTTCACGTTGCAACAGAGCGTCGGCATGGCATGAATTTTGGTATGGGGATAGTTCGGTGGCTGTAGAGTGACATAGGCTACTTTTTTCCGCGGAAAAACATCTCATTCCCGTGGGAAAATCGAATATCTTGCACAATTAAATTCAGCTAGGTGGCGCCACCGTGATTCTAGAAGACGGACGACGGTACGTTGGACGAACACAGAAGGTCAGAATATCTGCATTATTATGTCTTTTTACCAAAATTAAGATAAAAAATGTATGGATCTGTATTTTTCCACGCAGGACCGGGAAGAGAGCGATAAGAAACATAAAATTCACCAGCTGATTTTCTTCAAACGTTTTGGTGCATTGTTGTAATTCACAGAATAGGCGATAACCTCGCAGACGATATTAAATAATCCGTTGATGCTCTGCCTACCCCGCAAGGGTTACAGGCGTGATTATAAGTATGGATCAGAAATACTATCACCACCTGTCACGCTTTCACCCTTAACTATTACTTAACTGTGGTAGAAACAGTTCTTAGTAAGCCTTATTAATAAGCCTTAGTAATATTTATTGAACGGAAATGAATACAGTTCTTATATGTGGTTATGAATGAATCGGTATTACAATAAGAAAAATTGTGCAAAATTATAAGAAAAATATTTTTGAGAGTTCTTATTAACTAACGTATACACACTTTAAATTGATTCCGCTAGATGTCGTTACTAGGTTTTTAAAACGCGGTAACGAAATGTTTCCTGACGTGTACTTACTCCCGCCGTTGAGCCGCGCGTCAACTTACAATGCGTACGGTACCTATACGCTTTAATTGTTTCTATTTCGTAGTTTATTCGACTACCTGCTTTGGATTTCGGTTGTTTGTTATTTGCTTTGTGATTTGGTTAAGGTTGAATGGATTTTTATTGGCTTTCATTTTCGGATTTGTGTATTTTCTTGGATCGGTTTTGTTGATTTGGTTGGTATTCCTTCATACATCTTTAGACTCTGGCTTTGATTTTGAATTTTGTTTATTTAGAATCGTGAATTGGTTTTCGTTGTTTTAGGTTGTTTAACAATATTTCAAAGGAATATTAATAGTATAGATAGTGTATACGGCAGTGGCGAAGCTTCCATTAAAGCCGAAAAGCCGGGCTTGCCTTATTAAACCTGAATCAATCAATAATATCAATCAATAATAGCAACTAATAAAATAACTCTTAAAATGTTTCAAGCTATTTCAAATTTCCCGCGCACTCCACTGTTCGACACATGTCGACCGATGACCTCGTATTATAAAAAATGAGTTTTAATAGAGCTAATAGTTGTCTCCCTCGCTCGCGTGGGCTTTTTACGGGGCTTTCGGGAAGACGATCGCTCTCTTTCTAA